TGATTGATTATTATTCAGAAATTATTGTGTTTCTTCTCCCTCAATTCTGATTTCTCCCTCTGTTGTTCTTCTCTTCTCTCTCATTCTGATTTCTTCCCTTATTATTCTTATTATTCTATTTCCCTCTCAATCTCTATCTTAACCTCTTTCTTATTTACTTGAATTCTGTTTTCGAATCGCCCCTACCCGCTGCTGCATCACTCTCCGAATAACATATTGACTCCATCCCCAGTCATGTTTTAAAATGGGCCCCACACGGGATGTTCCAGATATTTCCTCCTTAGCTGCTGTTTTAGGGTGCGGAGTTGGTTCTTTTCCTCTTCCTTATTTAGGATTGCCTTTGGGAGTTTCTTCTACTCTGGTTGGGAATTGGGACTCAGTGATTAATAGATATGAGAAAAGATTAGCAGGATGGAAAAAGCAGTATCTATCTAAGGGTGGGAAAGTCACACTTATAAAGAGTACTCTTTCATCCCTTCCTACCTATTTTTTATCTTTGTTTCAAATTCCATGTTCTGTTGCTGATAGAATTGAAAAAATTCAGAGGGATTTTCTGTGGGGTGGAAGGGGAGAGGAGTTTAAGTATCATCTTGTTAATTGGGATCAAGTTTGCCAACCATTGAGATTCGGAGGGTTAGGCATTCGAAAAATTGTTCCTTTTAATCGTGCTCTCTTAGGAAAGTGGTTATGGCGATTTGGAAGGGAATGACATCGTCGGTGGAGAAGAGTTGTCTCGTGTCGTTTTGGTGAGGGGAGTGGGGGTTGGTCATCTCTTCCAGTCACTATTACGGGAGGCGTTGGTTTGTGGAAATTTATTCGGAAGGGATGGGATGTTTTCTCTACTCTTATTAGATTCAAAGTTCGTAATGGCAGGCATGTTCGTTTTTGGGAGGATCTTTGGTGTGGCGACCAGTTGCTTTCACACTCATTTCCTAGGCTTTATAGCATTGCAACTAATAAGCATGTTTTCGTGATTGATTGTTATCATCTTGATAACAATGGAGTTACGTGGGATGTGCGGTTTAGGCGGTCTTTTCAGGATTGGGAAATGGAGGAAGTTTCTGCTTTTTTGGATATTTTGTATAGGCAGAAGGATATTGGCAGAGGGTGTGATGATATTTTGTGGGTTCCTTTGGCTCATGGTCGGTATGATGTCCGCTCTATGTTTATTCATTTATCCAATTTCGTTGGTTCCGAGTTTCCTTGGAAGTCCGTGTGGTGCTCTAAAGCCCCTCTTCGAATCGCGTTCTTCGCTTGGACAGCTACATTGGGGAAGATTTTGACTTTGGACAATTTGAGAAAGAGAGGCAACATCATTGTTAATTGGTGTTGTTTATGCAAAGATGATAGTGAATCCGTGGATCATATTCTTTTGCATTGTCCTGTGGCGTTTGGTTGTTGGAGTTTTATTTTCAGCATTTTTGGCATTTTTTGGGTAATGCCTAAGCACTCCTCTCAGTTGATTAACGCTTGGAAAAGCTGTCCTGTTAAGAAACAAGCTCGTGCTTATTGGAAGATTGTTCCTCATTGTGTCTGGTGGTGTTTGTGGCGTGAGAGAAATAACAGATCCTTTGAAGGAAAAGAATCGTCCTTAGCTAATTTAAAAATTCATATTCTTCGTTCTTTATTCTTTTATGTTAGAGGAAGTACATGCTCCTCGATTGATGATTTCTTTGATCTCTTGGATTCTATTGGTCCTTAGATCTTTTCTCTTGTATTAGGGATGCGTTCCCCTTTTGAACGTTTTTCTAATATATTTTTACTTATCAAAAAAAAAAAAAAATGGGCCCCACACACATCCATTTTCTGAGAAACTCACATAATCCACAAAGGAAACCTCTTTGCCCACAGAAATCCTGAACAGTACTGTGCATTGCTCTCTCTCTCTCTCACCATTTACCCATGTCACATATTGTTAAATTTCTCCAGCTTCTTAATATTTAAGCCTCAAGAGAAAAAACGAAGTCCAGTGGAAGTAACAGGCAGACCACCTTTAAAACCTGTCCACTTAGTGCATATTGATTTTTCTCTGAAACGCGTACCTAAAAAATCTTAGCTGCGATCCAATCCACAAAAGCACGATCTCATCTGCAAAAGAACAAATGGGAGATGAGGCTTCCTCTCCTCCCTCGTCACCAAACTCCCACATGTATAACCTTCTCTTGCAACAAAAATAGAGAATAGGAATGGTCGTAACCATCCCATTCCTACATTATTCCATTCCTTTTTAGTCCCAGACTCCTACCTAACCAAATGGGGTCTAAAGGCCTGTTTAGTCATCTGTAACTCTAAAGAACAAATGCTTGGTTTAATGGGAGAACGTTTGCAATTCTAAGGAAGAAAATAAAGATTTCAGAAGGATAATAGAAAAAAATGAAGCCACTTAATAAGGGATTACGGTTATTCCTAAGGATATGGCACCTGGTTACTTGACTTTGATAAGATTGACATCTAATAAAAATATTTAGACATTCTTCGAAAATAAAGAATTCCAATGCGGTGACCCAAATAAGGGCTTTACAACCTGCTTTGATTAATTAAGATGAAAACTTCATGTAGGTTGTGCATGTCACGTATATTTGTTAGTTTGCTTCATGAGTTGGACTGGGCCTCCATGTGTTCGTCTGTGTGTGGTTTCAGAGCTAGGAACACTTGGAATTTCAGTCCTACTCATATACTATCAAATTTTAGCTCTCCTTCTATTCTCTGTGAGAGATAGGCTCTCTCTATGGCACATTCTATTTGGACAAATGATTGCCGCTCTTATATTTACAAAGTAGTAAAGAATAACATGGTAATAAACAATCATTAATCATAGTTCACTAATACAGAACTCCACAAAATCCGCAAGTGAAAACCTCCAGTTTTTATCACTTATTATCAGACTTGTATCTCTTGCATTGCATCCCATATACCTTAACTTTAAATTGAAAGAAATATATAAACTATATTAACTTTTTATTGAGGGGAGTGAGAGAGCATTGGCAAGTGAAAGTAAGATCATTAAAATTTAGTGTATACATTTGTTCGATGGGAGGACTTCAAGATCAGACTGTAAACCGGTTGAGAAGCATAAGCTTCTAAAAGATCAGAAAGATGATATCATGGACTTATGCATTTACTAAAAGTAATTAAATAAATATATATTAAAAACAAACCTACAGCTCAAGGAAAATACAGGGGAAAAACACACACACACATTTGCAGTGTATGAACATCTACAAAACTTCACCCAAATAATTTCCAAAATGTAGAGATTGGAAGATTGGATTGTAGGGTTAGGTCGAGAATCATAGGATTCTATAAGATCATAAAGATATAATCCTATCCTATATATGTACTTGCTCGAATTTATTGAAAATATATTTAAAAACAATACTAAAACTCAAGGAAAATATAATAATGAAAAGACACTTGCATTGTATGACCTTCCACAATTTCACCCAAATAAGTTTCAGAATGCAGCTCAAAAAGGAAAAGCCCTCAGTTATATCTTGTAATTTGCAAGCCAAAAGATTGTGCAGGAGAGAATCAAGTTAGTGTGACTGCTACACACACACACACACAAAACCTGACAATTAATTCGTTAAAACATCTTAAGTTTACAATATTATTAAAGTAAAGTAAAGAAACACTCATGGCTAATTAAGGACTGAAAGTAATTATGAAGCCACAAATTATGCCCAATGCAATAACTAATATAGCAGGAACTATTACTTGGTATAATGGTATAAACTTGCGTGATAATGCAAGTTCATATCTGGTACCTGGAAGCAGCCACTTTTTTGCAAAATAATATCAAATGTTAAGTTTGTTTCTTTCCCTCCCAAAGAATCCACATAGCTAGTACTAGGGGTGGCAAAACCCGACATGACCCACTAACACAACTAGAATACGACACGAAGTTAGCGGGATTAGGTTGACCTTAATCATGTTTGGGTCATAATCGTGTCAACCCGTTTAATTAATCGGGTCATGTTCGTGTTTTGGACCTTAACTCGTTTAACCCGATTAAACCATTTAAGTTAAACAGGTCATTAAACAAGTCGTGTCATTTCATGACCCTGATTGTTCAACGAATCGGGTCAATTTACTTGTTTAATAAACGATGCATGTTCGTGTCGGGTCGTGTTCTAGCAAAATACTCATAGGTCGACACGACGCGATTATAAACTGTCAACACAAATTGCCACCCCTAGCTAGGACAAATATTGGATAATCACCTATTGTAAAAAATAAAGCAATAATGTTCATTTTTTCAAAGAAAAAAAGAAAAGAAAGACCACTTCAGATAAGGTCAGCTTGTTTGAAACATATAGTGGCAAAATGACGAAAGACATTTTATTCAGATATGTATAAATAAATAAAATAAGGAAGACGTGAGGGTTACGACTGTAGAAGTAGCCTTGTTGAAACTATTGCTGCAAAGTTGTTTTAAACAATTCAACACTTCTTTAACGTAAGAAGAGTAACCATTTAGGACATCCAATGGTCGAATGAGAATTACTTGTTTCCCTGAACAAGTGAAATAGGTATTCTGCTAGGTTGTGTATGGCTGGACGTTATCATGTTATTTAGGACATGAGGCCTAACTAATTGGAAAGACATAAAGGAATTCCGAAATAAATAAATAGGTTGATGAGCAAGATCTTACAACCCTACAACTTGATCCATGATCCTATGATACTAATAATCCGCTTTGATCCTATGACGATTCCACTATGCAATGATTTTAGCACAATTCAGATTGCTTCTGAGTTTTAGAATAGTAAAGCCCAAACGATTATATGATCAGAATCATGATTTTAACAACTATGGCTGAAAGCTCAACGTGGCACTGATGCAGATACCTGGATATGGATAAACACATTGTTCTAGACAGCTATAATTTTTGCCAAATATTCACATGTTCATACAATAGGGAATAAAAGTATTAAGATCAAACACCAAATGAGATAATAGGAGACACAAGCAAATGTAGAGTTCTGGATAAGAGCTACCTGATCTGCCACAGCATATAGGATTGCAATAATACATGGAAGACAGCAGCAAACTGCAATACCAATAACGCATGCCAGTGCAACACAGAAAACAACAAAGAACACATCAAAAGCCAAGAAAATTATGCAAAGCCTGCATCCCAAAATCAAATAACCAAGTATAAGATTCACTTGAAGACAAAGCTTGAAATTCAAAACAGTATGAATGAAACCAGGTCTACACAAACCAGTAAAGCTGAGGGGAGTCCCGTGCCAATGATTCTCCGCCCGCAGATACCCAATAAAATCCAATGATCCACCAGATAAACGAAAACATAGTATTCGCAGATTCTAAATGCTTTGCCACACTTCTGAGAAATCAAAAGGCGATAAAAATGAGAACCAAATTGCATTCCCCAATTACATGTCTAATGTTTCCTTCTCCAATTTGAGTTTCGTGTGTGTATATGTATGGACAAGTATATCAAAATCAACAACATAATTGCAGCATCTTTAACAGCTCTCTTTGGACATACAATATAAAATTAAAAAAAAAAATCAACAATAAAGAAAGTGCTTCAAAATCTATACGGTATGTGATCAACATCTAGACTAATCAACTAGCAAGACATGTATATACTATGATCTGATACGAGGTATAGTTTATAAGACGTACCCTGCGCCCTCCTCATTCAGATGAGCCAATGTAACATACTGACTCGCATTCCCTTGGGAGTCCAGACTCGAACTCTGACTGCTTCCATTCCCCTCCACGACCGCCCGCCACCGCCGGCGGCGCCGCTTATACTCAACGCACACACAAACCATATGTAGCACGCACTGCAAAGCATACCCCAGAACCCAAAGCCTCAGCGGCATCAAGGGTGACTCATTCCGGCTCAGAACCATAACCACCAACGCCACAGCGACGAACGCGAAGTTCCAAATGATATCGAGAACTACGACGGGTGTGGAATAGGCCCAATCGCTCTGTCGCTCTTCGAGCTGTTCCGCCGCGGTCTCCCTCACGAGCATTGAGGGCTCCCTCATCATCCGACGGCTACTCGCTCTCCGGAGGAATCGTGCGGCATCGTGCAGGCTCGGTCTCCTGAGAGATCGACGATTACGATCATCGTCAACGTTTAACAACGGCGTCGTATCGACGATGTTCTCCGACGATGATTGGTTGGGAGAGCTTGATGTCGACATTTTCTTCCTCAAACCTCTCTGATGATACAAAGCCCTAGTTCGGCAAATTGACTTTGTGAAAGTCCATATAATTAAGAAAAGTCAATAGAATTCTTGAATAAAATTGAGCGAATCGATATATATGTGTAATTGTGCGTATATAAGGAGAGAGGGGTTTATGGTGTATGGAAAACAAATGATTGATATGTGTATTGTGTTTGAAGAAATGCTGATCGTGAGCTCTGTTCGAATATGGCAGGAAAAGAAATAAGCGATGATGAGGTCGAATTGAAGGATTTATCCCCAATAAAATAAAATAAAATAAAATAAAATAAAATAGAGGTGTTTTCTCTGCAGTGAGGGTTGTACAGCTACGTACAGTTATTATTGGATGCGGTCATTTTTTCGATTCCAATCTGAACGCCCAACTCCCAAGTCCCAACTGTGCAGGAAATTCAAGGATTGGTGGGTCTATAGAAGTCCACCATCTTGCTTAATAATCTCAGCCGCTCAATTTGGCATTGCAGGTGAATCTGATGTCTGAAAAATACATATATCTAGTTTGCTACTCCGTCCCTTCCAAAATTTTTGTCCATCTTATTTTTACGTCTCAAAATTCCTATCTCATTTCAAAAAATAATATATTTTCTACATAATATACCTAAACTATCCTTTTTACATTGACTCGTGAACTAGTTTGAATGTACTTTTTGCATAATATACAATTATACCTAAACCTATCATTTTGACATCAGCTTATACACTAATTATGGAATATTCTTTTATCTTCTAGGTATAACTTTGAAAGTTCGCCTCACTATCGTAAAAGATTAGAATCCCCAAAACACCCAATAGTTATGGGACGACGGGAATACTTTTATCTGTGTTGATCGAAAAAAGGGAATCCGAAAATAAAACATGATTGAGAAAGCCATACACGGCTTATATACACAAATTAAGTGTGTACAAAGCTAATCACAGAGAGATAAAATAAGAAATTAACCTTCCTAACTTTCCTAAAAATTAATTAGAATGAATTTATATATTAGTGGGATTCTCTAACTTATTATCCCATAATTCTAGAAAAGTCAATGATACACATAAAATACATTCTTAACAAATCCACCTTGATCTTCTACTTTCCAACACTTTCCCCTCAAGCTGAGAAACATGCAACTTTCATTCCCAGCTTGGAAATAGATTCTTGAAACGTTACACTTCCTAGTCCTTTTGTAAGCACATAAGCAAGTTGACTATTGGTTGAGACGTACGGAGTACAAATTAAGCCAATATCTAACTTCTCTTTTATGAAATGTCTATATAGTTCCACGTACTTTGCTCTTTCATGTTGAACAGGATTGTGAGCAATGCTAATGGCAGACTTGTTGTCGCAAAATAACCTCATTGGTCCTTCCCATTCGATTCTTAAATCTTCCAGAATTATCTTAAGCCATAGTAACTCGCATACTCACTAAGCCATTGCTCTAAACTCTGCCTCCGCACTCGATCTAGCTACCACATTTTGTTTCTTACTTCTCCATGTTACAAGGTTGCCTCCAAGGAAAGTACAATAACTCGTGGTGGAACATCTATCAATAGGTAAGCATGCATAATCTGCATTAGTGTATACCTCCAAGACTAATCCAGTGTTCCTTTTCAATAAAATTTCCTTGCCAAGACTAGTTTTTAGATAATGTAGTACTCTGTAGACTGCATGTAGGTGAACTTCTCTTAGGTTGTGCATAAATTGGCTAACCACGCTCACGGTATATGCAATGTATGGCCTTGTGTGAGCAAGGTATATAAGTTTCCCTACTAATCTCTGGTATTGTTCCTTGTCAACGGCTGGATCTTCACTTGCTTCCTCGAGTTTGTGATTTGGATCGATTGGTGTGGAGCTTGGTTTACATGCTGGCTTCCCCGTCTCCCTTAAAAGATCAGTTACATATTTCTGTTGTGAAATGAAAATGCCTTCTCTTGAATGGGCTAATTCAATTCCCAGGAAGTACTTCAATCTTCCTAGTTTTTTTATCTCAAATTCTTTGATTAAGAATTTTCTCAGGGCTTCCTTCTCCTTCTCATCATTTCCTATCACAATTATGTCATCGACATATACCAAAAGAGCCTTAACTCCCCCTGCGTCCGAGTGTTTACTAAAGAGAGTATGATCCCCTTGACTCTATTTATATCCAGTGGCAAGCATTACTTTGGCAAATCTTCTAAACCAGGCCCTTGGTGATTGCTTCAGGCTATACAACGCTTCCTTCAGTTTACAAACCCTGTTGCTGCTCAAATTTCCCTTGAAGCCTGAAGGGATATCCATGTATATTTCCTCCTCCAAATTACCATGAAGAAAAGCATTTTTTACATCAAATTGTTCCAAATACAAGTTTAAGTTAGCTGATAGTGATAACAAGACTCTTACCGTACTCATTTTAGCCACCGGAGCAAATATCTCCTAATAGTCAACACCATAGGTTTGCGTGTATCCCTTTGCCACGAGCTTGGCTTTGTATCTCTCTACAGATCCATCTGACCTGTACTTCACTATAAACACCCACTTGCATCCTACAGTCTTCTTTCCTGGTGGTGGGTCAATAATTTCCCACGTTTGATTCTTCTCTACTGCTTGCATCTATTATCTCATATAATGCCTCAGATAATGTATTAGGAATATGAATAATGTTTAGGCTGACTATGAAGCTCCTGTGTGCTTATGAGAATTTTTTGAATGACACAAACTTTGCTAAAGGGTACAATGGGTGTTTAGTGCATTCTCTTGTGCCTTTCCTAATGGCAATGGGAATATCATGATCATGTGGAGTTTCTGGAGCTATATTTACCTCATTCTCAGGATTAGGCGTTGAATCTTGGACTTGCACAGGATTAAGACCCCGATCTCTTTATCTTAAATACACATGCGAAAACCTCATAGAGTCACGAAGTTCATTATTTCCTATCATTAGACTTTGAATAAAAGTAGTATTTGACACAGAAACGGGTTGTGATGATGGTTTAGGAGGTAACTGTGATGATTGTTCAGGAGGTATAGGTACAGAAACTAGGTTGAAGTCCAAAAGAACAGGTGGAAAGTCTCTGTCTTTATCTTCAATGAATGCCAGAGACTCCCCCTGAAGATAAGGCTGAGTGAAATGTGGTATTTTTTCTTCAAAAGTGACATCAATATAGACAAAGAACTTCCTGGTAGGTGGATGGTAACACTTGTAACCCCTTTGAGTAGACGAAGAACCCATAAAAATACACTTAGTGGCTCTTAGATCTAGCTTCCCTCTATTATGGCTATGGACATGAACAAAAGCAGTGCATCCAACTATTCTTGGAATGAGATTGTTTATTATTCTTAGATTTGGATAAAAATAGGTAAGTGTTTCCATTAATGTTTAAAACCCAGCACCCTCGAAGATAATCTGCTAATTATGTATGCAGTTGTAAGCATAGCTTCCCCCCATAAAGGACATTTTGATAGAAGAGAAAGACTCGGGTTGTAGCTAATAAATGACCATTCTTCCTCTCTACCACTCTATTTTGTTGTGGAGTGTTAATGTAAGAAGATTCATGGATAATTCCTTCTTTTTAAAAGTATTGAAAAAAGGTTTGATTGAAATAATCTCTTGCATTATCCGATCTAAATCTCTTTATTTTAACCCTAAACTGGTTTTGAATCATGTTATGGAAATTTGGAAGCACACTACTTACATCCGATTTAGATTTAAGAAGAAAGATCCAAGAAACTCTAGTGCAATCATCAATAAAGGAAACAAACCATCGTGAACCAGACACATTTTTAACCGTGAAAGGCCCCCATATATCACCGTGGATTAAATAAAATAGAATTGAACTTCTTTTATTACTAACCAGAAAGGGTACACGCTTGTGTTTTGCAAATTCGCACGCATCATAATGAAAATCTTCAACTTTCAGCCCCTTAAACAAAAAAGGAAACATAGTTTTTAAAATTCCAAAAGATTGATGCCCTAGTCTAAAATGACGAAGCCAAATAGTGTCTTTATTGGATGATGAAAGAAATAACAGAGATAATTTATTCATGACAATATATGATTTTTCTGTTTCTTTAAGATAGTAGAGCCCCGTTCTTCTCCTTAGCAAGTCCAATCTTCCTCCCCGAATCCTGGTCCTGAAATGTACAGTAACAAGGATAAAACAAAACATTACAGTTCATGTTATGAGTGAGTTTTTGTATGGATATCATGTTGGTGGACAATTTAAGGACATGAAGGACATTTTTTAGTATAAGAGATGGACTGATATGGATATCCCCTAGACCTGCTATGGTAGTGAGAGAACCATCTGCAACAGCTATTTTTCGATTGCTTGGATAAGGGTTATAAGTGCTAAAATTTAGTGAAAAGTAAGTCATATGATCTGTAGCTCATGAGTTAATAACCAATAGATTCCTAATACGTTCATCTGAGACATGTAATTCGTGATAAACATAAAACTTACCTGAGAGTGCGAGAGTGCGTGCACCACTTGGTTTCTCCAATGATCCCAGAAGCCCCCTTGTATTCTCGATCTCCTCATCATTGAACCTGCTCTGTTCTTGAGACTTTTCGTGGCTTTACTAATTTATGACGAAGTTGGCTTGGCTTCTTTGCTATCCTCCTCGATATTCCTACTCTCTGCTTGGTGGTTTATCATTTAACTTCCAACAGTTCTCTCTAGTGTGTCTTGGTTTCTTATAATAGGTACACCAAAGAGTATCCTTACTGCCTTCTCGAAGAGTATCATTGCTACCTTGTCTTTGAAACCGTGACAGATCTGTCTTCCCACTTTTTTGAATTGATGGCCGTTCTGTCTTCGTCACCATAGCTGATCCTTCTAGGGCTCAGGTGTGATACCCCTCGGATCTGAGATGAGGGTTGATCAGGACCAGGCCCAAACCCGAGGGAATATCAAACAATTAATATTTTATAACGAACACAGATGACAAAATGAATTAAGAACAAATAATAAAAGTTGAAAAGAATACTAACATCAAATCCTCAACCGATAAAACTTAATAAAATCCAACATCCAAAACCTCCATGATTACAACTCGGGAATCCATCTAGTGGACCCCTAAATAAAATCCCAACTGAACTGAAAACTGAAAATAAATAAAACTGAAATATCGTGAGAAGTCCTACGTAATCTGACGAATGGAAATTGTCCTCAAACAGCACGATCAAGCTCTAAAGCTGAGACCGTCCTGTACCTGAAAAGAATAATAGAAGAGTGGGTCAGGCCCACGAGCAAGTTCCAATCTAACTGCAATCCAGACAGTGACCCGATACGCAGATACACCATAGATACCTCACAATATCTAACTAGTCCATATATATATATATATATATATATATATATATATATATATATATATATATATATATCCACACTAAGGGACATTCACTGGACTACAGTAGGGGTCTCAACCTGAATAGAAGGCAATATGCGAAAACGCACCCAAGGGTGGGCACGAATACCTAGACCTAACAGGGTACACCTACCTACTATATCCAACTACGCATCCACTGCATATACGCACCTTAACCAATGACTCTGAGACTCAAGCTCATATCGTGGTACCATAATCATATACCTAAAATCCGTCAAAAACCATAATATGTCATTCAATTATTTATTGAGGAGACATACAAAACATACTAGTTAGTCACTCAACTTATTCAGTTGATATGACTTAACCACCATCCATTAATCCAGGAGGACATTCAACTTAGTCGCAGTTGATCTGGCTTAGTCACAATTTGGATTCAATATTTTTCAATCCAATCCTTTAATCCGATAGGTTAGGTTTAAGCGTTTTGAGCTAATCATCTCTAGTATGTCACCGTCCCATACCGGTGCATACAATCCTCCATATCCATGTAAATTACGATACATAAATAATAAGCTAGTAATTTACAGTCAAAAACCAATATCCAAATCATTGCAGAAAAGTGTTTAAAGTTTCAGCAATTTAAATCCAAGAGTTAAACTTTGTAATTGCAGGAAACGGTTTAATAGCTCCACAACTAGCATCCAAAGCATGCATGGATCAAATCTATTATATCAATGACTCATTTTATGCATTCAAAATAAATTCTATAATCATACTATAGTCCAATAAATTGCTAAATTAATTTAAGTAATTTAGTTTCTTCCATCCGGTAACAGGGTACTAAGTTGTATACTTGTATTCTGTTTTATCTTTTAGCACAGAGCCATACACTATGCCACAAGTCTAATTTATTAATTAAAAGACTCCACCGTGCATCTAAAACTTAATTTAGAATCATGTTATAGCATCTTAAATTGTTAAATTAAAACTAGACAATTAATTTCCTTCCAGTCGTTAACCGTACGCATAGTTGTTAAATAGCGCACTGTTAATTCCATTAACACAAAAGGGGTATTTTATGCAATTCAAGACCTTGATTACATGTTAAAATAATTATTGAAAACCCCATTAAAGTTTTAAAACTGTTCAGAAACCCCAAGTGCCGAAACAGTAGCTGAAAAATCACAGTACGCATCAAATTAGAAAGAACCTGCTCTAAAAAATTATAGAGCAGGCTCAAATCAACATTGAGCCGGCTCCATACAACCTTAGAGCCGGCTCTAAACAGGTGGGAGCCGGCTCTAACATTCCAGAGCCAGTTCTCTTTCCCCCTGTGAGCCTTTTCTCCGTTCCAGCTTCGTTTCTGACCTCTGCTCCCACTCCGGCCAGTTGCAACCTTTCTGTTTGGTTTTTAAAACTAATCTAAGAACCTTATGTAAGCCTAAAAGCATCCCCATGACTTATTTAAAGTGGTTGCAAGTAAGTAAAATAACTAAAATTACAACCGGATTAACATGCTTAAAGAAACACAACTTGAAATAATCAGGCATGAATTTGTAACAGATTCGATTACAGCACAAGCAGAGCATCAATAAATCATACAATACACATGTAAGTTCCAGTTTATGATTTATTTAACCCTAGAGACTACCTCGGTGCACAAAACACGAGCCAAATGGAAGGAGAAAGTAAAAGAACTTGCCTGCAGTTTTGGTCTCAAAACTTTGTTGCCCTCTTCCTTATTTCCGGCAAACACTGACCACCTTCAAGCCTTCTATGGTTTTGGTTTAATCCACCACAACTCTCCCTTGGTCCTCTCTGTTCTCCTCCTAAGCCTTGTTCTATTTTCTCTCGCTTAGTTATCTCACAAGTCTCTGTTATCTCTGTATCTTTGGTACGTGAATAGGGGTTGTGTATTCTCAAAACCCTAAGTTGACGTACTGTTTTATATATATACAGACTTA